TTAATGCTATTTGTTTATTCAAATGTTGTGTTGCTTAAAAAGGTATCTCAGAGATGTATGGCTTTGTCTAACACTCCGTTGCTTGATCAGATTGAACGATTCCCTAGAACGTGCCTTCGCCGAAACCATGACCTGATTTTGACCTGCCATTGGTCAGCGACCTTACAAGGTGCATCTAAATGTTTGTTGTCAGACAATCCGCTATCCAATTGTATACAGCTTTGCAAAATTTGGCGTGGCTACGCCGCACCGTTCGAAAATCACTTCGGGAAAACCTTCGGAGGAGTCAATTTGAACCCCACCCGAGCGTGTCTTAAGTGAAGCAGCCTGATGGCTGCATGTTGCATGACTGTGGAAGCAGGAGACATGATTGCATTTTTGTCATCCATGTTTTTGGATTCCCAAAACAGGCTGAGCAAGTGATGTCACGTATTGGTTGTGTGCTTTGCTGAAAGGGATTTGTATTTTGTATCATGTGGTTTTGGCCAGTCATATGTCAGATGCAGAGGTAATACAGGAATACACGTCTGGCCCATCTTTTCACGATGGAATTTATTGTGAAAGCAGCAGGGATGACAGCACAAAAACTATATCACTGCTCATTATGTCATGCCACAGTGCAGCACTGAGGTAGTGCCACGATGGCACTGTTGACCCGTGCCATTATGCACTGTACCACATTGGTTAGCGACTCTATGTCAAGCCTATGAGATAACAGGTTATAAGTTGTGACTGACTGGTATTAACTGATCTAACAACTCTAAATGACCATCATCAGCAAGAATGCTGTTCCACCATAGCGGTTATATCAGGGTTAACTAGTAATTGCATGAATAATCCTAAGCAAGAAAAACATTCATGGTAGCTCAACCCTACTATCTTCACCATGACATTAACAATGTTTTGGCAATCAATTCACAGCAACGAGCACAGATTCACTGATTTTTGCATGCAACTGCGTTACAATTTCACAAGTAAGTAACTACCGTGCACATCGCATGATATCATTGCCAGGATTACAGCACTGCAGGTAAGGATAAGTCGACAATACAATATGTATGTCAAACAGCCCACCAAGGCTTCTCTTACGACCAATGTCAAGACAAAGAATACACAAACAAGCCGTCCATTAATCAGCCACGCAACACAGCGCCCGCGGCGAGAATGGCCGGTTGGCGTCAGCTTTCGTGCGTTTCGATGTATTCTGTAGGTCTTGCTACCAGATGCTGCCAGGTACTGCTGTCGTCACAAACCAACTCCATGACGCCATCAAACAATGACGTAACGAGGCACCTTTTTCAAACTTTGAAATTTTGCTCTTTAGGGCTGCTTTTAAACCTTGAAAGCTCACCAATAGTCAAAAGTAAGCTTTTCCCGTCATATCTGATGCTTATCTCAATATGTTTAAATGTGGAACATTCCCTTTCAAGTGTTTTGCAATTTCTCTGCAAAATGTTCCGACCAAAACCTTGCATACACTTTATATCTAAATTGAATTAATTTGCCAGCCGCCCAAACATGAAGGGGATTGTACCCAAGACCGAACAATCTGTAGGGAATGAAGGAGACAATGTGAAGCAAGAAACTTGCTTTTCATCTTAATTTCCCACGCATTATTCACTCTCGGGTGCATATCAAACATGTTTGGGCGGCTTGGAAATTAATCCAATTCATGTACAAATTAAATGCCAGCTTGCAGACGGAGTATTTTGCAGAGAAAATGGTCAACATTTGAAGCCATAGATGGTGTTTATAAAGATAATCGGAAAGGAAGAAAAAGTGAAGTTGTATCACAACCGTCTGAGACCAAGAAAAGCAACAGTAATTGAATAAAGATAGAGACGTAGAGTTGTTGGGCCAGTTTTTGTCATCAATCAGCTTGATCCAAAGTCCGTGAAAACGAGTGCTCAAATTTCGATATTCAGCTTTATACTTCATTAAGTAGTAATTGAGTCGTCAAGTTTCTTCGGGTACAAGAAATACGTGGAGTAAAATTCTCTACCACGCTTTGGTGGTGTTTGTATTAAGCTTTTCTTTGCTGCGTTGTCTGTGTAGTGTGACCCAAATAATTGGGGATGCATGTAAACCTTGCATTTGGCACAGAGCTGATGATTGTGATGAATTTTACCAATAAACCAAACTTGACGCAAGCAAGCAGCTGGAGTCACTGAGGCTCTCGGGATTGAAGGTACTTGGTGCCCTTGCTTTGTAAATGCATAGGCATAAGTCAAATGTAGGTGAGGCAGGATATAGCCATGGGTGTCCGGGTTCTGTTTAGCCTTGTTTTTGCTTGATGGCTTCAAGTGAGCTCGGTTTTGGATGATGTCTTGGAACCTCTGAAAGGGAAGTATGGGTTTGGTATGTGTGGTTAGACGATAGCAGGAAGGAGTGAAAAATTCACATTAAGTATGGGGAGAATGAATGAAAAATAACGCCTCATAGGGTGCTTCGTAACACGCACAGTCGGTGATTCTAGAACGCTGTGCATCGGTATGGGCATGCATACTTAATCTGCATTGATTTCACCTTATCGTTCTTATATAAGAATGAAACTACTCGTGTTGCCCAAGACTAAAATAGATTTTAGTCGCGATGCGCCTGCTGATCGGATGACCACTGTGGGTTAACCTGCTTGTCGCCGCGCTGTAGTCGTGCTCGAAGCATATCTGCCTCGGCAAATATCAACAGGTTGGATAGGATTTTAGTTTGTGTGGGACATTGGTTGAATTAGACTCCACTATTTGGATAGGAACGATGCTTTCCTCAGTAATGATAGCTAAGGGGCTCGGCAGAAATACTGGGATATCCTTTGTCCCCGGCTTGGCGTAGGGGCACGGACGAGGAGCGCTGCCTAGCGGTACAGCATATCGCACAGGGGCTGAACGCGCGCTTGGTCGGCCTTGACGATGAGTGAAGGTGGAAGAGCACCGGCATGGAGCACGTGGCCAATAACACCACGGACAACGGCGCAGGCACGTGGCCAAGAACACGAAGGACAACGGTGCAAGCACGCGGACAAGAGCATGGTGAACAATGGCAGAGGCACGCGGAGCGCCAGTCCGGTGCGGTCCAGCCGCTGCAGTAGTCAGGCTCTGGCACGTACAACTTAGTACAACTTCATAGATCATCTTGACTCCCGTGATTGCCACGAACGTTTGCATACGTGTGGTCACAGTTACTCCCTCCTGTACCTTCACTTACAAATTTGTTGCGACCACGGCCCGGGGTTTCAAGCTTCCTCTTTGCCTTTGGACGGGTGGTACATGCCCTCTTTGCCATGCTCTTACATTGTCCCATGAGGAAGACTTGGAAAGATGGAAAAGCTTTCAGGCCCGGGGCTCGTCAGCTGGAGTACAGAAAGGCGACAGGTTAAACACCAGCCTGGTGCACGCAACAGGTGTCGACACGGTGCCACAGAACGTCCAGCAATAAACAGGCATGAGCTTGCAATGTTTGCAGCAAAAAGTTTGCCGTATCATTAGCTATGCTAAAAAAGATTGTGTATAAGGGCGTCAACCTTGTCAACCGGCGACCAAATCCTACCACTTCTGACATCGGTGACCGACGGCCTCAGCGCCAGACAGAACCCAACGGAGGCCTACAGGCGTCTCCCGCGTCTGAAGAACTTGTAGTGTGATAAATTAGAAGTGTTTTGATCTGTTTGCTGACAGCTTAAGACCCCGATGCAGTGTACGGCGTGGGGCCACGTGTAGGGCTTTTGGCAGGTCCTGGGAAGTGGTTCCGCCGATCTCATCCAAGACGGGCCAGTTCATTTGCAGGCCTACTTTAACGTCTTCCCCAAGACGGAAACGCTCCACAGAGACAAAAAGCCAACGCGCTTGATCATCAACAAAGTATCTAAAGCGCAAGATCTGCATCAAAAACCTCTCGACCCAGACGCTGCTGCACGTTCAAGTGGCGCCTCTTAAGCGACTTGCTAGAGAAGGCGTCGCTGGAGAAGGCGAGCGGCCAGATCAACATAACCGTGAACTTCTCCGTCAACGGACTGAGCCTCTCGCCCGACTTCGCCGGACAGGTGCCCTTCAAGTACAATGTGTGCGGCGGGGCCTACCATTCTGACACCCGACTCCGCCGGACAGGTGCCCTTCAAGTACAACGTGTGCGGCGGGGTCTCCCATTCTGACGCCCGACACCGCCGGACAGGCGCTCTGAGAGTACAACCCGTGCTGCGGGGCCTGCCATTCTGACACCCGACTCCGCCGGACAAGCGCCTTGCAAGTACAACCTGCGCAACGGAGCCAGCCATGCGACGTGACTAGCAGTCCGGCGTTGTCGATCCATCATCTGTGGGTTCCTGGCAACCAGATAAGGGATCTTTTGTGGATGTGAACTATTCAGTTGAAATGTTGCCTCGTCGGTCCATCATGTTGTTGGCCATTTACATCGTTGGCATCGATTGTCTCAGGTACAGATGATCATAACAGTGCGGTGAAAACAGTTTATTTTACATGCGCCCGTATTTCTCAGCAACACGGGCGCATAAATATTTCACTCATGCAGCCTCACAGCCTCGCACACTCGTAAACGCTATGCCTAGCGCTCGCCGTCCATCCGCCTTAGTAGTTGCGAGCGAGGGCAGGAGCACTGTAACGAGCAGGAGCCGGAGCAGGAGCATTGTACTGTCTTGGAGCAGGAGCGGAAGCGCTGTACTGCCTGGGAGCAGGAGCAGGAGCGGGAGCGTTGTACTGGCGAGGAGCAGGAGCCGAAGGAGCGGGAGCGCTGTACTGCCCGGGCGCAGGAGCAGGAGCGTTGTACTGCCGGGGAGCAGGCGCAGGACCCGCAGGAGCGGGAGCGTTGTACTGCCGGGCAGCAGGAGCCGGGGCGCTGTAGCGGGCGGGAGCGGGGGCTGGGGCAGAGCCATAGGTCTGCTCGCCCTGGTACACCTGTGGCACGATCGGCAGCGGGTACTCGGTCGGCACCGGCGTCGGCAGGATGTCGCTAGACGGCTGGTAGCCGTTCTCGTCGGCAACAAACGTCACCTGGATGGGGTGGCCGTAGTCGTCGCTGTAGCTCCAGCCGCCCTGCTGGACGTAGCCGCCGGTGGGCTGGCCGTACTCGGATTTGCCGTAGCCGGCGTTGGGGCTGCCGTTCTCGTTACGTGAGATGCCGTTCTCGGTCTGGAAGCTGAACTGGTAGGTGCCGTCGCCCGGGTGGACGTTCTCCTCGCTGAGGATGGCGAAGGGCTGGCCGTAGCCGGCCGGCTGCTGGTGGGAGGGCGGTGCCGCCGGCTGGTGGTAGGAGGCTGGTGCCGGGGCCGCCGGCCGCTGGTAGGAGGCGGGCGCCGGCTGCTGCCGCGGGCCATCAGCGCAGGCCAGAGCCGCCAGCGAGGCTACGATCAACTGGAAACACACCCAGCTGACGTCAGAGGAGGTGCCGACCCAGCGGTGCATGCAGAGGTTGAAATCACGACGCACCTTTTTACCGTGATAAGACGTGGTTCAGCGCCTTTGTCAGGTCAGTTTCTCTCATCAGTGGATGCAGGGATCAAGGGATAGTTGTGGAATATGTGCAGCACCTGACAGCGACGACCGGCGACGCGGCCTTTCGCACTGATCCAGGGACTGTTGAAATTGTGGCCTACGTCCGCACTTTTGTTCTGATCTCTTCTGGCCAGTGTGGTATCGTAGCAACGTTTTGGATGTCAAATTACGCTCTTGCTTTTTAAGCTGACCAATTTAAGCACGTCTTGCTAATATTGCGGTTCACCGAAATGGCTCCATGCCTACCTGTTTAGGCTCTTTGGAACGGAATGAAAAAAAACGTTCAGGCACTAAAATTAAACACTGAGTTTGCCGGACGCGGAATTTATGGAAGATGATCAACAACCCTATTTGCAAGACCTTTTGTGGCGCCCTAACTGACAGTACGGACACCGCTAAAATACGAAAGGCAACGCTGATGTGAAGCACCGATCTTCCGGACCGTACTCACCAGCTTCATGTTTGCCGTGGCGTTGTGAGGTGGACACCACTGCTGGCGAGTGACTGGTGCCTGATGTCTGTGCGGCCGGCCTTTTATTCGGCCGCGGGAGGGCGACGCGGTTGGCCGTCACGCTGCCGCCGGCGGCGTTGCCCCGCCTGACGCAACGCCCTCTGCAGTGGGCGTCCCCGTCCAGCCAGACGACCCGACCACAACCGGCCTCCGGTCCACCGATTCCACGTGAGACGGCTCGGCCCGGCACCGCTTCCGAGAGGGCGGGGACGGCGGCACGGAGCACGCATTGAGACAGGTTCAGGTTACAAGCAGAAGGGTTAGCAGGTTAAAATGTTCTCTGGTACAGGGGACAGGCTGACGCTCTGGGTTGCGCCACCTTCAGGTCGGCGTCGGAGCGGCACGGCCGCGGAATCGAACACCAGCCAATGATTCGCAGGGAAGCGGCCTATGACGGATGTCTTTTGCGTTGTGACTGATGCTGAAAGGCTAGTGAAGACCCTAAAAAGACATCAAGCCCTTTGGTTCCTGAGTTAAAGGCCTGCAAAAGTGCGAAAGGGTTTAATGGGAGACTACTTTAAAGTCACCTTGGCATTGATGACATCATAGAAACGTCATACGATCGTCGTTATATTTCAGGCTGTTTTCTGCTTATGGTCCAAAAATAATTGCTGCTAATACATTAACACGAGCGACGATGCGGCACGCATGGTACAATCCGCGGAAGGTGATTGGCTGTTAAAAAATTCCGCTGCTGAATGCGCGTCGCGAACTTAACGGCGGGCACTTTCAGGTTGTCTGGCACTTGTGGCCAATTGGGCATTTTCCTTAGATTTACGCCATAGGTCAAGGTTATACAAAGAGAATGCCACTGTCTGCAAATATAGCGCAGTACCGAAAAACGGCACACTTCCGAATGTCATAAAAACAGACAAGACACGACAGCAAATCCGCCTTTTTCTCGTACTGACGTTTTCTTTTCTTTTACTGACGTGTTTTTTAGACAACTCAGTTAGCGTCTTGTATACCGGAGAAAGGGGCCCTGCATGGTGTTATGGGTTAGCCAGGCATTGTAACATCGGGAAAATAGTACAGTAAGTTTAGATATATAGATTTTGCTAAATATTCGTCACATGTCGAAGGACAAGTTTAAATCATGAACAAAATGATTGTGTCCTTCAAGTGCAAACTCTTGAGTTGTGTTACCATGAACCCCTGTTGGGATTCCGTTTTTGAAGGGAGCTCAAGGCGAAACACGGTGTTATAACCGAAAACCTGTGGGGTATTGCAAGAAAACCTGCAATTTGATACTCTCGCGGGTTATGCAAGTGTGGGATTACACTTATTTGAAATTAGAGTGTAAATTAGGGCTTTGAAATTGGTGTGATCACTGATAGAGCGTGCCAGTGGCTTGTATTAATCTTGATGTAATGGGGAGGGTGCGTGCGAGGTTTGTACTTGAAACAGAGAACATTGCTTTGGTATTCTGTCAATGTAATGAATCCCAATAAAATGGTATGGTTTGAGACCTGTTCTAGGTTTTCGATTTAACATGAGAAAGTTGTGATGGCGTCGAACTGAAAGAAACACTGGCATCTATGGCTCAGGGATGCTCAAAGGCAATTTGCTATTTGATTATGATCTTGCCATAATTTTGAACCCATTGGGATATTCCACCATGTAATTAACCCCTCGCATGCCGTTATATTAGCAATTCATTTCGGCAGTGGGGACAGGTCAGTGCGGCTCATCAATGCACATGCTTGGTCTGAGCATTTCAATTGTGTGAGATACTGGGTACGGAGGAAGGTGGAGAAGTATTGCAGTTGGTTTCTTGGACAGCACTTAATAGCATTTTTATCATCTGCCTTGTGTGCACCGGCAGCTTCATCACTTCTTTGCATTTCGCCCATCTAACCGTAACTATATGCACTTGTCATGTCTCCAGCATTGAGCAAGGTCAGCCGTTCGCAGTGTTATTTCACGACATCGAATGTTTTCTTGTTATGCATGTGCGATTACTTGTGTGAATCGCATTTTTCACACGCGCTCGGGTAGCCGTTTGGATACCCATCGCTCGAGTGGGGTGTCAATTTGCCCCCCCCCTGAGATCTCGGGAACTAAAAGAGCTAGACACGCCAAATTCATAGAGTGTCTTGGCCTGTACGTAATTTCTTAGGTCAAAGTTTGAAGTTCGTAAGTCTTGACCGTCGGGTCAAATAGGGTCAGACAAGGTCATATTCCAGCATGGTGTCCAAAAGAGCCCTAGAATCTAGGCAACTGTTTTAAGAAAAATTTCACGCGTTCAGTAAGGGTCAGTGACTTTGTTTGACCTTTCAACACGCGCCAGGGTCACCGGTTGGTCAACCTATGCTCGGGTAAGTTGGGCAATCTGACCGCTGAGATCCCCGGAATGAAGAGCGCTAGAGAGACAAAATTCACAGCGTGTGTTGAACTGTACGTGAACTCACTTAGGTCAAAATTTAAAGCTCTTAGGTCATGACCTCCGGGTCAGATAAGATCAAACAAGGTTAAATTCCAGATGAGTCTCCAAAGGGCCTCTAGAACCCAGGCAACTGTTCTAAGCAAAATACCACACGCTCAGTTAAGGTTAGTGAACTTGTTTGACTTTTTAAAGTCATGATGATTAAAATGATACAAGAGGGTTTTGAGTTGTGCATTTGGATAAGCGACAAAGAATACGCTAGGCAGTATGTTCCCAAAAACAAAGTGTTGACCTGGGGCCTTTAAGGTCAGTGATCTATTCTGACTTATAAGAAGTCCATGGAAGGTGTATAATACGGTTCTTGCCATCAATATGTCCGAAATAAGCACCAGAAACCAGCCAATACAGCAAGCTCTAGAGTAATAAAACAGGTCGGTTTTACATTGGTCTGACCTTCATACCTGACCGTAGGTCAATGCTATTTGTTTATTCAATTGTTGTATTGCTTAAGAAAGTATCTCAGTGATGTATGGCTTCGTCTAACAATGCGTTGTTTGATCGGATTGAACGATTCTCTAGAACGTGCCTTCGCTGGAACCATGACCTGACTTCTACCTATCATAGGTCAGCGACCTTAAAAGGTACTTCTTATTGTTTAATGTCAGACAATTTGCTATTCAATTGTCTACAGTATGCAAAATTTGGCGCGGCTACAGCGCGCCGTTTGGAAATCATTTTGGGAAAACCTTCGGAGGGGTCAATTTGACCCCCACCCGAGCGCGTGTTAAGTGAAGCAGTCTGATGGCTGTAACATGTTGTGAGCTGTGGGAGCAGAGGACATGACCGCATTTTAGTCACCTATGTTTTGTGGATTCCCAAAACATGCTGAGCAAGTGATGTCACTTATTGGTTGTGTGCTTTGCTGAAAGGGATTTGTATTTTGCATCACGTGTTTTCGGTCACTCGTATGCCAGATGCGGAGTTAGTACAAAAATACAAGCCTGAGCCATCTTTTCACGATGAAATTTATTGTGAAAGCAGCAGAGATTACAGAACAAAAACTATACCATTGTTTATTATGTCATGCCACAGTACAGCATTGAGGTACTGCTACAATGACACTGTTAACCCGTGCCATTATGCAACGTACCGCATTGGTTGACAAGCTTATGTCAAGCCCGTGAGATAACAGTTTGTAATTTATTAATGATTTATGAACTGATTTAACAACTCTAAATGACTATCAACAGCAAGAATGCTGTTTCACCACAATGGTGATGTCAGGGTTAACTAGTAATGACATAAATAATCGTAAGCAAGAAAAACATTCATGGTAGCTCAACCCTACCATCTTTACCACGGCATTAGCAATGTTTTGGCAATCAACTCACAGCAACGTTACAGATTTATGAATTTTTGCATGCACCTGCGTTATAATTACACAAGTTAGTAACTACTGTGCACATTACATAACATCAATGTCCGGACTACAGCACTGCAGGCAGGGATAAGTTGGCAGTGCAATACGTATGTCAAACAGTCCGCCAAGGCTTTTCTTACGACCAATACCAAGACAAAAAATCCCCAGACAAGCCATTCACTAATGGGCCGCCCAACACAGCGCCCGCGACGAGAATGGCCGGTTGGCGTCAGCTTTCGTGCGCATCTACGTATTCTTTAGGTCTTGCTGCTAGATGCTGCCAGGTATTGCTGGCGTCACAAAACCACTCCATGACGCCA